CTAAGGATTTTATACAGCACTCTATAAATCACACGGCAGCATGAAAATTCTTCAAGAGCTCATAGGCAAAACTGAACAAATGTTATAGACTTAATTACGGTCACTCTATTGACCCCGAAGTGGCAGCAGTTTATTTTGCCACCTACTTTCTTTATTCTGAGTGGGAACCTAGAAGATTAGTAGAAAGGCCTTACTCGTATGAGACTAGTGAGAATTAGACAGGAACAAGTGGGTTAACTTCAGAGGCAGAACTGAGGAGCTCCACTAGGCCCTGTCCTGTGGCCCACAGGCAGGTGACTTAGAAGGCTGATCTCTTTCCACGTCCATTCTTAATGTACACCAAGGCGTGGGAGAGGAACATCACACAGTCAGCTTCCTTCTGTCAAAGCAGAGAACTAGAAACAAACCAGTTCTAACTACCCTCAATGTCCTTCCCAGCCTTCTGAACAAAACGTTTGGCTGCTACTTCAGACAAGGAGACAGAGGAAGCAGCTTCACGCAGCTACAGGAGAGCCACTTGCTCTTGCCAGCTCTTGCTGTCTAACAACAAGACACACCATGCTTGGAGCTTTGCTGCAGACAGCTCAGATTCCCTCCATGGCACACGTTGCTTCATCTCTGGCTGGGCACTGTGCCACCTGAAGTTCCAAGTCCATTGAGAAGTGGACCTCTCTGCCCTTCTCATTAATCCCTCGGCCGTGTCTATTCTAGAGGCCAGTGCCAGGGACCGACTCCAAAGGAGCCTGTTAAACATAATGGAAGCAATTCTCTTTACGAGCAGAAGAGGAGAATGAAGCAGAGAGGAAGCAGTGGCCAAGTCTCACTTAATAATGATCTGCAGCAATTAAGCAAGGCTTGCGACAGACTTGAGTCCTGGAGCAGCTCTCTTTAAGAGGAATACACAAAGGGCAAATTTCAATAGACCATTTGAAGGCTGTTGACCAAGGAGAATGGGGCACTGCTTTGGATGCTCAGGAGGACTACAGGCTTTCAGTCTCTGCAACTGAGGTACAGAAGGTATGTCAGCCAAGACTGATATCTGAAAGTCCACTGGCCAGTTGTGATTAATGGGGAGCCAACAAAGACTATGTAGTCTGCAAGCACACCACAGGGGGGGAAAAATCCCCTGCCTTGTCATGGGTCATTTCAACATGTCCAGTTCCCACTGGGAGCATCCAACCACTCAGTGCCCTTCTGGAAAAGTGTGCCCAAAAAGCAATTTTCGCCCCTGCCTTGTCATGGGTCATTTCAACATATCCAGTTCCCACTGGGAGCATCCAACTACTCAGTGCCCTTCTGGAAAAGTGTGCCCCAAAAGCAATTTTCATTTCAGTCTCAGAATGATGTCCACTCCATGGGTTTATGCAGCCAGCTGCTCCACAGATCATAAGCCAGAAGTTTCTTGCAATACTTCAGAGGCAGAACTGAGGAGCTCCACTAGGCTCTGTACTGTGGCCCACGGACAGGTGACTGAGAAGGCTGATCTCTTTCTCCTGAGGCTACATTTAAAGGTACAGCCCTCGGTTAAGCTCTGGAAAGCTGCTCTTGACTCAATTTGAAGCAAAGAACTCTGGGGGTAAAAGACTGACAAAAACCAATAAAGGACCCAAATGATCTCCAAAACATTCCACGTTTAGCCTGCTCTACAGTGAAACAACCACTCTCTACTGAGGTGTCATACTCAAGGATACCGTACTAAATGAACTGAATGCAATTCCTAGTGGCCTCATTGAAAACACCCTGCTACGACTACAGCCTCCTGGTCTCTACCTTCTGCATGTTGTGCAGCTTAAGAAGACTCACTTGGTATGTACTTAATTTAACCTAACTCTTTTCTGTCCTGGTTCCCACCTTGTAGAATGTGCTCCCTGGAGGGGTATGGGAGGCACGGTAAGGCTGCATGGTTTGCAAGGGCTTTAGATGGTGAGCGGGTGGGGGGTGTTAATGCTGTTTTATGGCATCATGTACATTTTCAGTGTTTGGAACTGCAAGTCACCTTAAGCCATAAGGAACAGGTAGGGTATAAAGATACAAGGGAATCCAGCAATTGTCATCAGGGATACTTCAGAGCTTTCTGCTAATACATTTCTTCTCGGGTTAGCATGCAACAGTGTAAGGCCCCCACATAGCTTCGAGTCACTGTTACATGATGCACTTATTTGGCAATGCATGCTTCAAATGTATGCCATTGCTCTGGCTTTTGGGTAGGTTTCTCCACAACTCCTCCTATGCAGAACAGGATGGGTTGAATCTCGCTACTCAACACTTAGAGACACGGCAGTGACTGTTTGGCATGAACAGGAAAAAACAAAAACAAAACCCTAGCATGCTTTACTGGGCATGAGAAGGACATGGGCAGCAAAAGATGCCCCCAGGATGAACACAGGTAGAGGAAGGACTACGGCAATGTGAGTGTTTCAGAACAGGGCAACCATTTTCTGTAATCCAGCACTGCTATCTCACAGAACCACACAGCAGCAATATCTCTTGTAGAACTCTCGGCTGCAGTTTTTTTAAGCTTGCCAACTGTCCTACAGTGCAAGTCAACCTACAGGAAAGAACATATCAAAGGGGAAACTATGTCTTTTAAAGGAAGCACTGATGTCAGACTATTTAAGAGAATCTGGCTAAAGCAATGAAGGAAAGTATGGCGACATGTTACAATTAATTCTTTTCACAGCATTTAATTTGTGTGCAGTGGAGGCTACATTCCCTCACACACACACACACCCCTAGTGTGTTCCCCACCCACTTTCCTCTGCTTGTTCACACACTAGCTGGCTTCATGGTACAATAAAGCCTGAAGACCAAATTAGGAAGCCTCTCTAGCTGTTCTCTGTACGGGTGTGCTAGCCTGCGTGTCAAGATAAAGCTGGCTCCTGCCTCTCCACTGGTCACAGAGCCCACAGTGTTTGGACAGAGAATGCCAGTGGTTAGTTTTCCCATGATGCAGAAGGCATGCCTGTCAGACCGTATCCAGTTCTGAGCTATGTAAAAGGCTATAAGAAGACAGCACACCGTTCCAAAAGCAGCTGGAGGGACCCTATCTTTGCATCTAGCTTCCCTCTTTCACCCCCAAATGTCTCATTCAATTAAAAACAATCCCCCCACCCCACCCAAGACACATCTCAGAGTGCCAGCAGAGTGGAGCCTCAGTTACCAGACGGTTCTTATATGCGATGGAAGGAATAGCAGTGGATTGTTCCGGTGCCCCAAGTTCTCGATCCCTACTACATATTGGATTTTAAAATGACTGAGAGGGAATTAAGGGATTGTTCATTTTAAGATGCTCCGTCAGATAGTACAAGGAGACAGACTTTCATGAAGCTGACAAGCAAGTTGTGCACACAGCAAAGGTGTATATATGTTAAACACATTCTGAGATTGTTGCCAAATTATATATTTTTGGCTTGGTTTGGCTTACTTTTTATTTATTTATATTTAGATGTTCATATCTCTCGTCTAGAAATTCAGATATGCTTAGTCTGTGCTGGCAGTACTTTCACGGTTTTTTGCATGAGTTAGCCTGAATTCCTTTCCAAGAGACAGGAGAACAGCATGGTTTAGTACGTACTCACTGGTCACCCACCGATGAGGATCATTGGTCTGTTCTTCATCTGAGAAATGTTGAGCATGCCTGGGAATAAAGGAATGAATAGGCAAGAATTACGGACTCTCAGAGAGTTGTAGTTATCTAAGTATTCTACCATAAATGGAAATAGTAATAGAAGAATGAAGGTAACAGTGCAGATGATGGCATTCAGAGTATCTAGGTTCAGAGCAAACTATTCTAAAGTGTATACAAAAACAAAACGAAGTGCACCTATATTGACAATCCCTGTGCAAGACATGCAACCAGTGTCCTGTATTATACTGGCATGAAATATGCAGGAATGGCATTCTGCCCTTTGGGCCAGTCAGGATACCAAAATTCTAGGAAAAGCTTCAGACCCACCACCCTGAAACATTTGCATCTCCTCACAAAGATCCACCTCAGTTGTCTGAGAGCTACATCAATAAAGCCTGGGGTGGGGTTGGCGGTGGTAGTAGAATTGTGGGAGGTTCTTGAGGGTTCTGCTGTCACCCGCATTGAAAAAGCAGACTCTTAGCTAATCGTCAGACTGGAAGAGGAGAAAAACCTTTGCCAAGAAAGCAGAATACAGCTCCCTTTCCCTGTGGCAATGGAACTCACATGTTACTCAACATGATTTTTTTCGCCTACCCTTCCAGTCTTTCAAATCCACAGTCACCAGAAGTATTTGCCACTTGCTGGGGTAAAAAAAAAAAAGGCCATTGAAAAATGGAAACACACTCACAAGCACCAATACCTTACCAAAATTAAACCTCATTGTGTCATGACAAAGTATTTTCACGTTGCTAGGTATCTTAGGAGGTTCCAGGTGGATGCCATCTGGGGCATTTTATACTGTGATATAGTATCTCTTTCTTTCTGGGGTCCCATCAAGCCCTATATATCACCCATTCCATTACAGACTAGAGCACTGCACTGATGGCTCAGTTTGCTCTTACGTGATGGGTACCATTCAGACTCTAATACCGTACCAGCATGTTGTTTCTTTTTCCTGCCAACAGCCGCACCAATGATTTGAACCAATTCTTCTTTTGTGGCATTGGAGCGTAGATAATCCCGCAAGGACACTTCTGAATTTCCAAAAAGGCACACCTTAAAAAAAAGGGGGGGGGATCAGAGAGAAGAAATGCTTCCCCAGATGCTAGTTCAGGGATAGGGACTGTGGTCCTTGCATGTGGAAGGTTCCAAGCTCAACCCTTGGCAAAAAGGATTTTAGGTTGTGGCAACTAGGAAAGATGTTGCTCTGCTTGAGGCCTTAAGAGCAAACACCGTGGAGTGGATCAATGGTAAATAAGTGGTATTAGTGCGCTTTAAGTAAGTACGCATTGGATTCAGATGGTTTTTGAACAGCCCATTTGTGTAGCGGTTATCTGATCATGTGAAAGCTTTCTTCCCACTGGCTACTGTGGCTCTTAGGTAGTGCAAATAAATCATCTTGTGGCAAACCGCCATGTCATGAAAGTTTCAACCTACCAAGCTATGGATAACTGTTAACTTCTAAATCCACTCCAAGTCTTACAGATACCCAGGACATCTGAAATCCCTGCCTTGCACATTCCCAAGTGCTAAAATTTAGTTCAGTAATCATCTTAAGCTGTTGAACTCGCTCCAACTTGATGTCAGCAAACATTAGTGAGACAGTTGCTGTCCTTGCTGAGTGGAGGAATGTTAGGGCCACCATTTAGCTGAAAAGTAATTTAAAATAAACAACAGTTTAACGTGGCAGGAAATGTTGATCATCCTTCCCTCCGCCACCCCCAAGAGTTTTCAGTCTGTGCAACATATGTCTGAATTGACAGATCACGCAGAGCTGTGCACAGAAACTGAATAGTGGAGGGAAAGCCCAACTTCCACAGTCCCCAGCCACATGATTGGGAACAGCTTGCCTGTTGCCAATTTAAGATAACATAAAAAGCTAAACAGTGTATTTAATCTCCGGCTTCTTACCAATTAGTTTTACAGCTCAAGTATGCTACATTTATGAAACCAGAGACTATGGAAAAGTTTCTCAAAAAGGAAGAACTAGGCAAAAAAGTACAGTCATTCCTTCGGGCAACAAAATGGGATTATAGTAGGATGCAACAGGGATGGTCACATGACGTACAGCTTATGCCTAGGAAGCATCCCTTAAATAACTCCTGGATTTGGTTTTGGATGCAGTTCCACCTTTGAGCGTGTTTGATACACTACCTTCAAGTTACCATCAGCTGTAATCCTCAGACGATTACAGGAGCCACAGAAGTGCTCAGACATGGAGGTGATGAAGCTGACTTGTCCCTGAAAATTTGGCACCTTGTACGCCTGGCACGGCCAAGGCAGGGAGCGTGAAAGAAAGCAGAGACAGCAGTTGGAATACATTACTGAGAACACTTGAGTAAAAGTCAAGCCACCTCCCTGTCTTTCACAAACAGAAGGGAACCTCTACATTTGGAGGTAATAAACCACAAAATACCAGTGCCAGGAGGCAATGTTAGGGGAAGCCCTCAGCCTTTATGCCCTGCCGTTGGCCCTCCTGAGACAGGATGCTGGACTAGCTGGACCACTGGTCTGATCTAGCAGGGTTCTTCTTGTGTTCTTATGTGCTGCTCTGCTGCAGGAACTGCAGTTGTGCCAACAGAGCAGTACTTTTAGCAACCAATCTCATATCTCCAGAAATAAAATTAAGCTTAATCTTAGGCCAATTTTTAAAGGAAAAGGTCAGAGTAGATGAAAGAAATCCACTCACTATACATGTTTGCTTATGTGGTTCTTTCCCTGTGGTTGTGTCACTTTTTCATTATGAGGGAGCACGTTACAAAGAGTGACCTCTTGAATGACATCTTCTTATACTGATGTTTCCCTGTACAGTGTGTTTATGCTCAAAGAGATGAACTGGAAGACTACAGAGCAGCTGTTCTGGCAACAGCTGTGTAAAAATCGGCTCAGATTAAAGTTACTTCAAAATACACAGAAAGTAGTTGTGCTGAAAACAGCATACAACCCATGTGAAGTTCATGTGTACATAGTCTGGCATATATGCAAACACCAGAAAGCCGCAATTAGCTATGGATTCCAAGCATCTACATCCCACATGTTCAGGCATCAAGATTCATACATGCAAATTCATTCTGTATAATAATGAAGTGCCTTACTGCAGTATAGACTGCCTTTACTTATAATTCCTCCAGGAAAAGATTCATGGTTCACAGTTACTAAATGCCAGCTGTGAAGCACTGAAGATGCAACCAGCCACATTATGATTTCCAGGGCTTTTTTTGTAGAAAAAGCCCAGCAGGAACTCATTAGCATAAGAAGTCACACCCAAGAGCAGAAACTCATTAGCATATTAGTCCACACCCCTGACAGCGTAGATCTGCCCTCACAGAGGGAGAGCTTGTACCTGAATAAACCTTAATCTTAAAGGTGCCACTGGACTGTTTTGGATTGCTAGCTATGGGGGGGGGGAACGTGCAGCTCTGCACAGAAAGAAAGAGAGAGAAATGGAGGGAAAAAGGGAAAGAAAGAAAGAAGGAAAGGAGGAGGGAAAGAAAGAAAAAGAGAAAGAGAAGGAAAGAAGGAGGGAAAGAAAGAGAGAAGGAAAGGAGGAAAAGAAATAAAGAGGAAGAAAGGAGGGAAAGAGAAAGAAAGAGAAGGGAAAAAGAAGGGAAAGGGAAAGAAAGAGAGAAGGAAAGATTGAGGGGAAAGAGGGAAAGAAAGAAGTAGTGAAGAAAATCAGGAGGGAAAGACGGAGAGAAGGAAATAAGGAGGGAAAAGGGAGGGAAAAGAGAGAAGAAAAGGAGGAGGGAAAGAAAGAAGGAAATAAGGAGGGCAGGAGCCTCCAGTTCCCATACACTCACACCAGTTCCCATACACTCACACCAGTTCCCATACACAAGGAGCAAACTGCTTCAAATTTCTACCAACCCTTCTGAGTTTGAAGCAGCTTGCTCCTCATGTATGGAAACTGGTGTGAGTCTTCATGAAGTTTGGGAGCTCCATGTTGGAAACATGACCTTACCTGGAGATTCGTAAAGTTTGCTGGAAAGTCATATTATCCACAGAAAGATATTGATATACCTGCTGTTAAAATCATTGCTTGCCAAAAGCACAGAAAACACAAGTCATCTCGGTGCCTGAATTTTTCTTTGAGTTGTTTTGTATGGTGTTAGCAACCTTGTTTGACTTGTATTCTGTTTTGCATTTTGTTGTGGCTTGTCTTTTGTCCTTTGACATGGTACACATAAGATTTAATCCTTAAGACATGCTGTACACAAAGTTCCACTTTATAAAGTTTCCTTCTACTATAATATTGTATTTAGCTTTAAAATAATTTAACATAATTATCAGACAAATAAGTCTTTATATGTAATAGAAATTGCTTTTTCACATTGTATTTCATTTTATTTCAATGGCTAGCATGAACAAGACGCAGGAGTGACAGATTCATTTAAATACCCTGGGAAAGAGAGGACATATTCCCTTCATCCTCTCATAGACTAGAAACTGGCAGTGAGTTTGTAGGATATCACACCTCATTCATTCCTCTTTCGTCACCAGTACTCAACTCAGCATTCAAGGTCTAAAATCTGCATTACTTCTACATCCTTGCCTCCAGAGCCACCTATGGTTTGGCTTCAATGTCATCTTGGATACTGTGACTAGCCTCAAGCTACTACCTTCTATAATAACTCTTTTGTTATGGCAATTTTAACTGTCAGAAGTATGAGGTAATCACACAGACATGGGCCCTGTATTTCAATAGCACAAGCAAAGGCACCCCAAGAGATCAAGCACCTTGGCAGTGCTAGAGGCTTCACAAGGCAGCTTTTCCAACGCTGGCCATCTTTGCTTTATTGTATCCAACATCTCCTTGTAGCTCACCATTTTCTTGAAGTTCCATTTATTGCCTAGAATGAGAGAGATGAAAATATTATGGTCACAATAGTATTAACTGGTGAGGGGCTGTAGCTCAACGCCAAAGCACATGCTTTGTGTGCAGGAGGTCCAGGTTAATCCCAAGTATCTCCAATGAGATGATCTTGGGTGGCAGCTGTTAGGAAAGAGCCAGTTTGGTGTAGTGGTTAAGTGCACGGACTCTAATCTGGGAGAACCGGGTTTGATTCCCCACTCCTCCACTTGGACTTGGCTGGATGACCTTGGGCAAGCCGTAGCTCTGATAAGAGCTGTTCTTGAAAAAAGAGCAGTTTCTGTCAAGAGCTCTCTCAGCTCCACCGACCTCCCAGGGTGTCTGTTGTGGGGAGGGGGAGGGAAAGGAGTTTGTAAGCCGCTCTGAGACTCCTTTGGGTAGTGAAGGGCGGGGTATAAATCCAATCTCTTCTTCTCTTCTTCTTCTCAGCACAAGACCAGAGAGCCTCTGCCAGTCAGACAGAGAGCCTGACGTAGAATAAGGCAACTTCATACATTCAACCATATGCACTGGTTAACAAGTCGGGTGGCAGTGATGAGGAGAGGAGGACCCAGACATTCTACAAAGCATAATTTGTAGTCAGAAAGAATTAAGCTCTGTAAAACAATGCAAAATTTGCATGTCTGATTAATTTTGTGTCAGATGCAGTGGCACTGGGGGCCTGCAGAAGAACAGCAGTGTGAGGTGGCATACGGAGCGGAGGAGCTGAATTGGGCATAGGCTCCATTCAGGTGAACGAGAGCTGTTTACACATCTCTTTCATTTCAACACAGCTTACGCGGGAGAAACTCATGGTGAATTCAGCCCTCATTATCTGAACCTGGGTTTAAACTTCAGTCTAACTACAGTATCTTCAAATGAGAAGTGCATAAAGCTCGTTAACAGTTTGTTTTAAATGTTTCAGCTGTCTTTATGATCAAACCTCCCAGAGTCACAAAACAGCATTTCCCTGCCACTAGCTATGCCAGCAGTTCCTACTTGCATCATCCCTTTCCAGATCAAAACCTCCTAAAGGTCACAAAAGCTTCTGAAGTTTGCAAGCTGACATTTCCTCACCATATTCTGAGAGACTGAAATGGAAACTTCCTATTTTAGCGCCAGTGGCTCCCTCAAGCCAAGCGCAGCTAGAAGCTGAAGTGCTCACCATCGAAGGGCATGTACTCTATGAAACGTACATCCAGGGGCTGCTTCTCTGTAAGAGCCACAAAATCCACCAGTTCATCTTCATTGAGGCCTCTCATAACCACACAATTCACCTAGAAGTGGGGGGGGAAAGACAGCTGACTGGCGCAAACATAGGCATGGAAACAACATCACCTTCCTCCCATCCCGATGAACATTATAACCAAAAAGGACAATTCTTAATGAGCTTTCTGGAAGGATAATAACAAAAAACTGGGTGTTGGGAATTAATTCTGGAATAGATAGAGAATCTACACTTACATCTGTTTCTCATTTTAGATTAAGGGACTAGTAATTCAACAAACAGAAAAAAAACAAATCACAGAAATATATTTAAACAAACATTACTGATTATTAGACAAGAGAATTAAAATACAAGGTCTAAAATAAGAATTTGTAAATTCCATAAAGTAAACATCAGACAGCATCTACAGACAATTCTATGTTCAGCCAGTAAGAATCTAGATTTCCTAGTAACCCATCTCCAATCCACTTCTTCCAGTGTTTAGCTAACATATGGTCCAACTGCAAACGCAAGGTCAGAAATCTAAAACAAGGTCTAAATGCTGACATCTCTCTCCACAATAATAGTAAATGTACTGGGGAAATTTTCAAGTTTGGTAAGATGGTGCAAATGCCTGTACTATATTTGCACACAGTTTTAAGTATGCTATCCTAAGACACATTCCCAAATACTGAGCCTGACATTGAACTGGAGGTGGGAAATGGAAAGCACAAAGCCTGATCCAAGCCATAAAAGCAGCCAGTGTACAACATGTACACACCAAAGGGAACGGAACAGTGAGAGTTGTAAACAGAGGGGGACTGCCTTATTAGAACCAAATCATTGGCCCATCTAGCTCAGTACTGTCTGCTCCAGCTGGCACTGGTTCTTCAAGGCCTCAGGCAGAGGTCTTTCCCAATCTCGCTACCAGATTAGCAGTAGCTGTCAATGCCAAGGATTGCATCTGGGATGTTCTGCAAGCTATGTCCTCTTTGACTGGGCAACAACTCCTCCTCGCTTTAAAAAAAAAAAAAAGGCACAGCCCTCATATTCCCAGATCAATCATGTTCATTCCAGTATTTCAAACACTCAAAATGCATATTTAAATGATCAGCATCCATCCATAATTCCTACTCTGTAAATGCTGCTTAGTTGCAAGGGAAAGGGGCAGAGAAAAGTTCCGTGCACAGATCTGTGATTAATAACTTTAGCCTGAAGACTGCAAACACGGACTCTCACCTTAAGAGGATCATATCCAAGTTCAATGGCTTTGTGGATCCCTTCCATTACCTTGTGGAATCCTAAAAGAATAATAATCACATGGGATATTTAAACAGACTTTAAAAAATGTTTTGTGGAACAGAGTCAGGATAATATTTAACAATTTTAATTTATCATACATCTATCATACATACATATGTATACATGTGTATTATAAAGAACAGCAAATACAATATTTAGTACTGCAAATACAATATACAATATTTAGTACTATAGAAATTATAACATATCTTTGGGAAAAGAAAAAGAATTGTAACTGTATCGATGGTTTATTATTCTCTTTTAAGTTTTTTTGTGTGTCATTACTGTTTGTTTCTATTTTTCAACAATAAAAGGTTTTTAAAACAGTGATCTTTTAAAACAGATCTTCTGAACAGTGATCTTTTGAACTGAACAATTGACATTGCCCTGCCCTACAAACTATATCACAAACTACTGGAAATCATATCTCCATTCAAAAAGCTGGTATGCTGTATGGCATGGGGCATGAGGCTGTCTGAAGCTCCTTGGGATCATAGAACCATCTGTGTAATTCTTTGGGTCCTGCCCATAGTTTCCAAGTACATGATTTTGCATAGTGCCCTTGCATATGTATAGAAAGGACCAAACAGGACTTCCAGTTTTTGGTGTCTCAATGGCGGACGTGTCCCTGGAGAGCTCCCGGGGACGTGATCTGCGTGCCAGTGGTTGGGAGGGGGCGTGATCGTACACACTCCCCCGGGACTCTAGTGTGGGGTCCCTAGCCATGGGACCCTAAAGGGTTGCCTCTCCTCTGGCATGATGCCGGAGAATTGAGGCTCCCTTCTGCCCCAACAGTCCCGCCGCTGTGCGTCCGCAATGGAACCCGGGCCGCTGACCGGGACAAGCGCGTGGAGGCTGAGCGAGTAACACGTACCTTTAGCGAGGTCCTCGGACAGACACGGATCCCTGGGCCGACACTGACTGTGAATCCGTGAAAGCAATAGCACCGAGATAAAAGCCGAAAGCCTCCCCCCGCCGAGGCATAAGCGAGCGGGGGAGGGAACTCCCCAAACACAAAGAAAAGACTGAGACATTTAAAGGGGGGAGACGGCATTAAAAGCAAAATGAAACTGTTTTAAAAACTTCACAAGAACTTTATAGGCATATGAGCGAACTTCAGAGACTTTTGGCAAACTATTTTAAAAGTAAACATCTTCAGATGGCGGGCAAAAGAACTGAGAAGGACAAACAAGCAAAAATCAAGCCTTCTTCAGGAAGCCCGAGCCCAGCTGGTCCGGTCAGCTGACCGGAAACTACCATAGACATTTCAAAGATGCTAGCAGACTCTTTGCACCCTCTGCTGGATCAAATGCCAAATATAAATCAGCAGCTGACAGCTTTAAACCAGAACTTTGCAGCTCAGCAGCTCCAGTTAAGCGAAATTAACAAAAAGACTGAGCAGACAGCTGAGACGGTGAAGGAGATGGATGCCAAGACCAAAAAGGTTCAAAAGCGTGTGCAGATGTTGGAAAAGAAGGGAACGACTGAAGAATCACAGCTTTTGCAACTACAAATGGAAAAGGCAAGTTTTGTCCTGAGATTCCAGGGACTTCCTGAAAATAAGGGGGAGAACCTGAAACAAGTACTGAGTGATGCCTTGGCCCCGATTGCAGATTTAAAAGCGGATTATATTCAAAGCGAGATGGATGTGGTTTATAGATCATATCCAGAATATATAAAGAAGAAAAATCTGCCGGGGGAGATAGTGGTCAGATTCTCTAAAAGGCATGTGAAGGATTTTATCCTGAAAGCAACATCAGGAACACCCCTAAAAATCAAAGGCAAGGAAATAAGGGTTCTAAAAGATATTCCATTTGAAATCAGGAAGAAGAGAAAGAAATTCAAAGACTTGGCAAGGTTCTTACAAATAAACAACATCCCCTATAGATGGCTGGTCCCCAAACGCTTGTCCTGGTGTGTGACCCTGAGTCAAACGCTGGGAACTCAGTGGCGGGACCGTTGGGGCAGGGAGTAGCCCCCCTTCACCGGCTGGTTGTTGGAGGAAGGGCTCTCCAAATGCCCCATGGCTAGGAGCCCAACGCCAGGGCTCCGGGAGGGGATGTGGATGATCACACCCCCTCCCATCCTCTGGTTCATGGCACGCATCTCTCAGAGCTCCGAGAAGCCATGGCGATCGTTAGGGTGCCAAAAACTGCAGCACCATGCAATTTATTTTCTTGTGGGGCATGAACACACACAAACTCTTCAGCCAGAATAATCAATGCATTCTCCATTCCCAAACAGTTTGTCAGCCCACAGACCTCTGAACCAAATGAAAAACAAACACAAGGACTCTGTTCTTTTCCTCTCACTGTCGGGGGGCCTGGGCAGGATGGGAAATCGGGGGGCCTTGGCAGTAAGTAAGGGGGGGCAGGCCCCAAGAGACCACACTGTAGCTACGGGCCCACAAATTTAATCAGTCCATCGTGGTATAATATATGTTCCCTTCCCCTAACATAAGGAAATATTTGGATCCAATCCTGAGTAAACAATAGTTAGAAAGCTTAAAGTTCTTTTCCTAGCCATTTTTTCAAAGATCCTCTTCAAACCTATTTCCCCAAGGGGAAAAAAAGGTGGTAACTTTTATCTTAAGAGTACAGGAAACATTTTTGACATAGATGTTCTTTAAACCTATTCACAGTAAGAAAAGTACACTTTGGAGAAGGAAAAAACAGCTGCCACGGCCTTTGGAAACTGCCCGATAGGATGAGATCAGCAAATCCTATCAAGGGATTATAGTTACATTGCCCTCACCTCCCCCCTGCAGCATCCACACGTCATGGGATAGCTTTGTGACTATTTGACCCCTTAGCCCATTTTAATCCCACCCAGTGCAGCATACATCATCCTCCCATCTTTCATTTTATTCTCACAATAACTTTGTTCTATAAGCAACAGAAAGTGGGTATGACTGGCCCAAGGTCACTCAACAAGCTTCCACAGCAAGGTGGATATCTGAACCTTGATCCTCCAAGACCACTATACCAAAATATTAACATATGAGCAGGCACCTATATGATTTGTGTTTCAAGAAATCTGTGGTACTGAACAGTACCTGAAGCCCCTGAATACATTCCATCTCAAAACCAGAGATCGAACATTTACAGTTAATTTTGTTTATCTTAGAAAACTAGCTACTGTGAGGAGATATTTGATGGCCTGTGATGTGGAACTTGTGTGCATATCAAAGGCACTGAGACTAATTACTATTAATTGTACTTCCATTCTATTTGCAGCATATACAGGGCGATCAAAGGCTGACAAGATGAGCCTCCGAGGCAGAACTTCTACCCTGCAGGGTGCCTGTTAAGTCAACAGAATGCTTTCCAATAGAGGAAGATCTGCATATGTGAAAATACAAGTGGACTCTCTGAACTCACTTGTGATAATTGTCCCTTTGTTACTGCTTATCCCTTTAGAACTGCAAGGTTGGGTGTATCATAGGGAACCAAGTAAGAAAATGGCACTCGATTGTTGGATACACGAAGAAGAGAAGAGAAAAGATTGGATTTATATCCTGCCTTACAAACTCCTTTCCCTTCCTCTCCCCATAACAGAGGTAGGTGGGGCTGAGAGAATGAGAGAACTGTCCTTGAGAGAACAGCTCTGACAGAACTATGGCTTGCCCAAGGTCATCCAGCAGTTGCAAATTGAGGAGTGGGGAACTCGGTTCTCTCAGATTAGAGTCCGCGCACTTAACCACTACACCAAACTCGCTCTCCAGTTCATAACGCTGTTATTCAATAATTATGAACCATGCTAAACGTGTCATTGTGTACTTTGTCAGCAAAAGGAACCTCTTTTTTGTGCATGTGCAGTAACGTTATACCATTGTAACACTGTTCTAAAAAAGGCTGGCTGTATCGTGGGGAACAGCATGGTTGCCACCATTTCAAAGTTCCCTCCGCTCCTCCTTAGATGCCAACTAAGAAAATGGCTAGCAAAGATTCCCACACAATCCTAATGAAAATAGTATTCTGTTTGCAATCGTCGAAGCGGATACCCCAATTCATAACAGTGTTATTCAATAATTATGTGACATGGAAACACTGCACATGTTTAGTTTCCATGATTATCAAATCAATTATATAATTCCATTATTTTCAGATGTTTAAGAGAGTGAATTGTTATCGAAAACACACCGGGAGCTATCAGGAAAGGGGGAGGGGGGAAATGAATAAACAACACAAGCACAATGCAACAAAACCTACCCACAAACAAAGGAAAGGAACTTCATGGACCAGTAATTGCACGGAGAAAGCTACATCAAACCTCACTGCTCATTTTGTCCCTGCGATATAACGCAGTGATATTATTAAGTTAAACAAAATCAGCATTGTAACACAATCAAAACTCCCCTTAAAAAAGTCCGTCTGTTGTTCAGGGGACTTGGGGGCGGGGAGTACATGCGCCACTGATGACACAAAAGGGGCGGTCGGAAACAACATTCAATTTCAGGAATCCCACACTTGAAAACTGCAAGTTAATACCCAAAAGAAAAGAAATCGTGGAAAAATGGATCTGGAAAATGCTGAAAAATGAGGCAGTAAATTTGGAGCTACTCCTGGAACAGTCAAAAATTGTCTGGGAAGTTTTAAAAACATTGATGATTTAAGAACGCTGATGCGGTGGTTTGCACGTGTGCAGAAATTGTCTCAGGCTCACTTCTCTAGAACTCTTAGCAAAGCCAATGCTGTGCTAGAAGGATTAACCCATTCTCTATCCCACAGGAAAGGAACACATCTGTGAGACACTGTTATTGGGGAGGAGGCAGAGAGAAAAACAGCAGAGATCCCCAAACTTCCCACCAGCACTAAGCCTCTGAATCCCAGAGCCAGAAGGCAACATCAGGGGAAGGCCATGGCCTCTATGCGCTGTTGTTGGCTGTGCAGAGGAACTGGTCAGCCACTGTATGAGGCAGGATGCTGGACTAGATGGACCATTGGTCTGACCCAGCAGGGCTCTTCTTATGTTCCTAACACGTAGAATAATCTTCAGT